GTCGCAACCTACCACAGGGATGCTAACCTCTGGGCCGCCAGAGGTGTGGTGGTGCATCCGGCCACGCCCGACGCAGCACTCCCGGCACCAGGTGCGGAAGACCGCGTGGCCACCTGCGATGTGCTCCTCACGCTCAGCCGCCGTCGGCCGAGTGGGAACCACCATCTTCTTGACTGGTGTTCCCTCCTCAGCCTCGGTCCCAACGTCCGCGTCGAGAGGGTAAATCCCTCGGTCCTCCATCGACGCGACCTCGGACAGCTCCTGCGCCGAGGTGAACGGCAAGTCCTCGTGTGGCTTCAGGCGTACCCTCAAGTACCAGGCCCGTCGCTTCCGTACGAGGTTGATGCGAGTCCCGGAGGCTCTCCGGAGGATGTAGGCCCCGCCACCGTCAGCAGGGAACACCGTCTCCCACTGGCACCTGCTCAGGTCGTCCGTCGCCAACAACGCCTTGGCGATGTCCATGACGCGGAAACGCACGACGAGGTTGACCGCCTGGCCGTGGGCGTCGTCCGCCTCCAGCCCGAGGATCCGCGCGCCCTGGTCATACAGCCGGCCGCCCCCAGCTGCAACGTAGTACCCCCCGCTCTGGCTGAGCCTCGTCGGGTGGAGGGGGTACGAGCCAGCTCCGACGCCTACCGGGAGGCAGCTGACCTCCGCGCCGGAATCCACCTCGATGTCGAGCCACTCGCCTGGCTCGACGCGCGGCCCTCCCACGGCGTTCAGAGCGGGGCTACCCGCATCCGAAGCCGATGGGCCAAGGAGCGGGGCTACCCGCGTCCCTCCTGTACTCTTCAGGCCGCCCTCGGTGTCAACGCCGACGGCGCCGATGTCGAAGTAGCCCGCAACCGCTGCTACCTCCGCGGCTTCCGCGTTTCCGCCGTCTTCCACCGAGTGGACCTTCGGCCTGGGGCACTGGGCGGCTAGGTGCCCGGGCTGGCCACAGTTGTAGCACGCCCGGTCCTTGCCCTTCCCTCTACCTTTCGGTCCTCCTCCTCCTCCTCCTCCTCCTCCTCGTCCTTGCTGCTGAGGAGGATGGGGGTGAGGTTGACGATGTGGATGATGATGTTGTGCGCCTCCTGGCGCTTTGCACGCACTTGCGATGTGGCCAGTTTTGCCACACTTGTTGCAGGTCTTGTCCTTGTGCGGGCAGTCCGCCTTCGTGTGCGATTTTGCGCCGCACCTTGGACATGCGTGCTGCTGCTGGTGCTGGCCGCCGCGGCCCGTGCCCCTGGCACCACCGCCAGGCCTGCCACGACCGTCTCCCTTGGCGACGGCGCCGATGTCCATCGGCACCGGCTGAGCCTGCGCAATGGCGATCGACCTGCCGATGGCTACGACTTCCGCCCGGAAATCGATCCACCTCGTCAGCTGGTCCACCCTCATCAAGAGGTGGGTCTTGAGAGGCGATTCGGGGAGACGTAGCAAGAACGTCCCGATCTTGACCTCGTCGTCGAGGGTCTTCTTCGAGTCCCGCTCATAAACGGCGATCTCACGTTCCCACGCCGTGATGCGCTCAGGGACGTCACCCTGCAGCGAGAAGGAAAGGACGTTCATCAATTGCCCAGCGAATCGCGTCCGCATCTTGGGCTCGTACTCGTCCACTAGCTTCCGCCATGCTTCCAGCCCCTCGTTGTCCCCCGCGAGGAAAACGATGTTGAGCGCCGCACCTTTGCACAGCATGAGCAACATCCAATAGAGCTGAGCACTGGCTTGAGCGTCCGTTTGATCAGTCAGTGTCACGTTTGGCACTGGATCGGTCGAGTCGGCAGCCGACTTCATCAACGACGCGAGCCGTGGGACTGCCGCCCCAGCGTAGCCCCGGAAGACAGCGCTCCAGTCCCGCCACGAGGTCTTCTCCCCGGAGAAGTCGCTGGGCTTGCCTAGCAGCCTGGTGTCCACCCCCACGCTCGCAGAGGCCTGCGCCCTCGGCGCCTGACCTCCTGCGTCCCCAGAAGCGGCCGCCCCGCGGCCTGCTGCCGCCTCCGTCCGCGCCTGCTGCAACTCACTTTCCAGCTGCTGCTGGCGCGCCTGCAGCTGCCGCACTGTCTCAGCCATCTGTTGCATGGCTGCCTCCATGGCTCCTACTGGAACCTGTCCTCGACCTCCTCCTCGGTCTCGTCCCACGCGGGGCTACCCGCAGCGGGATCGTCGACCGCCTCCTCCTGCGCGGGGCTACCCGCAGCAGGATCCTCCCGCGCGGGGCTACCCGCAGCGGGGTGGTCTGACGCGTCCTCTCGCGCGGTGCTACCCGCAGCGAGGTCGCGCGCAGCCCGGCGCGCTCTCCTCTCCCGCAGCCGCCGCAGCGTCGCTGCCGCGCGCCGCTGCTCGCCCCTCGCCTCCCGCGAGTCTCGGCGAGCCTTTGAGCGCTTCCCGCGCCTGTTGCGTTCACGCCGTGGAGCCATCCGGCTCCGCTACCATCACAACTGATTTTCTGCCGCTGGCTCGAATCGAAACGGCTTCGGTGTCACAGTGCAAGAGATGCCAACAACGAGGTATGACATTTGCCAGGTGAGGCCGAATATAGGGATAGGGATATGTTTGAAGCTGGTAGAAGCCTCCAAAGATCGTCAACAAACAGCCGCCTACGGTCGGGAACTGTTGCTTCGCGTTGCGGCGGAGGCCCCGGCGACACGCTATGCCGTGCGAGCAGATAGCGTGTCGCTCCGCTCTGCGGAACGGACGGCTAGGAAGAGCTCGGGAAGCTGCCCCCTAGTGCTCGTGAAGTGGGCAACGTGTTGCGCCGCGGCGGAAGGGGCCAGCACCGGCCGCGCGACACGCGTAGTCACGGCTCCTGACCGCGATCCTCACCTCACCCCTCACCAAATTAGAAGAACAACCAACACGGCAGAAACATCATCTCTTGGAGCTCCGCGCGGACTCCTGCGGTCGGCGTTGGACCCCCCTCCCTGGCGCGCGGAGCGCGTCAGAGGCGGCGCCAGAGGCGCTGGCCAGCGACGATTCAAGAAACCCGCGCGGACCTTCCAGAAAATATGTTTACGCGACTGTCGTCCCTCCCTCTTCTAGGGGGCCACATGCGAACCCTACCCCTACCCACCACGATCTCTGAGGGGGAGGGGGAGGTTCACTTCGCTCGGGAGCTCCCGAACGAAGTGAACCCCACCCTCCCCCTCAGAGATCGTGGGGGGTAGGGGTAGGGTTCGCGTGTGGCCCCCGATCTTCTTCTATTCTCCTATCATTGGCCCAGGTGCAGCCACCCACCCTCTTCTGCGCTTGACTGTGCTGCCCTGGCCATCCCGCCAGCTACTCTACCAAGGCGATCACTTCCGCCAGCCCCCCTCCAAAAAGAGGAGTTCGGCTTCGAACGAATTCGGTGCGGTTCCTAGATGACGACCGGTTCTTCGTAAGTGCATACGTTCTGACTTGCCATCTGCCCACCCCCCTTGCTGGCCTCCACCACGAGGGCGCGCGGGCGCGCGGGCGCGCGCGCGCGCGCTCAAAGCGGCACCCCGGAAGGTGGGCGTCAGGCAGGCGGCAACGTGATGTAGACGTGTCATAGGCGCAGCGAACACAGAAAGAAAGCAGGTACGTGAGCCACGGCCCGATCCTGGACCTAAAAGCGAAACAACAGCGGCGGCCAAACCTCTTGAAAAACGTCGACGTTCCACACGGAACCGGCCCTGCCATCGCTCGGACGTCCACACCCCGTGCACGCGTCGGCCTCGTGCGTGCTCTGCCTCGTGGTTCACACAAGAAGGTGCTCTCCGAGAGTCGCCCTCCCCCCCCCCCGGGGCTGGATAAAACGAATTAGCCTGACGAAGGACCCAACCATGTGCAGTTGCGAATACCGCATTGTGGGTACCGGTTTCGGTGGAGCTCCTATGGGACCACGAAACTTGTGAGGGGTGCGCCGAAATTGGTGGCGCGGACGCATGTGGACACCGCCACTGGGGCCTTCGGTGTAGCTCCCTATGGGGCCACGAAGCGCTGCCCTGGGCGAGGGAGACGCATGCGAACTGCGCCATTGGGACCTTCGCTGGAGCTCCTTATTGGGCCACGAAGCGCTGTCATGGGTGGGGGAGGCGCATGCGAACTGCGCCTCTGGCGCCACGAAACGCTGCCCTGGGTGGGGGAACCGCACGCGCCCACCCCCACTGGGACCTGGGGCCACGAAGCGCTGTCCTGGTGGAGGGGCCTTCGGTGGAGCTCTATGGGGCCACGAAACGCTGCCCTGGGTGGGGGAACCGCATGCGCCCACCCCCACTGGGGCCTTCGGTGGAGCTCCCTATGGGGCCACGAAGCGCTGCCCTGGGTGGGGGAACCGCATGCGCCCACCCCCACTGGGGCCTACGGTGGAGCTCCCTATGAGGGAACTGCATGCGCCCACCCCCACTGCGGCCTTCGGTGGAGCTCCCTATGGGGCCACGAAACGCTGCCCTAGGTGGGGGAACCGCATGCGCCCACCCCCACTGGGGCCTTCGGTGGAGCTCCCTATGGGACCACGAAACGCTGCCCTGGGTGGGGGAACCGCACGCGCCCACCCCCACTGGGACCTTCGGTGGAGCTCCCTGTGGGGCCAAGAAACGCTGCCCTGGGTGGGGGAACCGCATGCGCCCACCCCCACTGGGACCTTCGGTGGAGCTCCCTATGGGGCCACGAAACGTGTTAGAGGTGTGCCGAGAGCAGAGGCAAGGAGGGGGAGGAGGGAGGAGGGGAAGGAGGGCGGGAAGGAAGGAAGGAAGGAAGGAGGAACGCGGGGCACCGTCTCTTCAAAACGAGGACCCACCACCACAGGATTGTTGGGAAAAAACGACAGGTTCCCGAGGCTGGATGGTGCCGCTCTTTGTTCCGTAGCCTCTCATGCTCGAGGCTCAGGCGTGTGCACGGACGCTCCAGCACCTCTGAGCGGTCCCATCGTCGAGCGAGGCTAGCGAAACAACATCTTTCCTATCTCATGGCGTCGCAGTGATATTCTCCCCCCCAGCCCCCCGGGGTGGCGCCCAGCATCGCCCCCCGCCACGACAAGGCGCGCGGGGGCCCGCCTGGTCGCCGCCGGGCAGGACCTCGAGGTCGCGCAGCAGGCACGCGGAGTGGAGCGCCTCCTCGGGGAGGTGGGGGGGAGCAAGTCAAGCGTTGTGTCGGGCGTGTCCCCCTACGGGGGGATCTTCGACGAAAAATTAAAAAAGACCCCACACATACCCCGAAAAGGTCACAGCATACTCAACAAACTAGTCCCCAGACGATTTTTGGACTCTGTTTGGACTATTTGGGGGGTATGTTATATTCTTCGTCGAAAATCCCCCTGTCGGGGGACAGGCCCGACTTAAGACTCCTCGGGGAGATGGAGAAATAGGGGGCCTCACGCGAGCCCTACCCCTGCCCCCCACGATCTCTGAGGGAGAGGGTGGAGGGTGGGGTTCGCTTCGCTCGGAAGCTCCCGCGCGAAGCGAACCCTACCCTCCCCCTCAGAGAACGTGGGGGGCAGGGGTAGGGTTCGCGTGAGGCACGCGGCGTGGAGCGCCTCCTCGGGGAGGTGGGGGGAAGCAATCGTTGTGTCGGGCGTGCCCCCCCGCAGGGGGATTTCTTCGACGAAAAATCAAAGATACCCCAAGACATACCCCGAAAAGGTCACAACACATCCAAAACATAGTCCCCCGACGATGTTTGGACTCTGTTTGGACAATGTTTGGGGTATTCTTTATTTTTCGTCGAAAATGCCCCTGTAGGAGGACAGGCCCGACTTACGACTCCTCGGGGAGATGGGGAAATAGGGGGCGCCACGCGAGCCCTACCCCTACCCCCCACGATTTCTGAGGGGGAGGGTGGAGGGTGGGGTTCATTTCGCGCGGGAGCTCCCGCGCGAAGCGAACCCCACCCTCCCCCTCAGAGATAGTGGGGGGTAGGGGTAGGGCTCGCGTGAGGAGGAGGAGGAGGAGGAGGAGGAAGGAGGAGGGGAGGAGGAGGAGGAGGAGGAGGAGGAGGAGGAGAGGAGGAGGAGGAGGAGGAGAGGAGGGGAGGAGGAGGAGGAGGAGGATAGGAGGAGGAGGAGGAGGAGGAGGAGGAGGAGGAGGAGGAGGAGGAGGAGGGCGAGGAGGAGGAGGAGGGAGGCGGGAGGAGCGGCAGGACTGCGAGGCACCGCCCGGCTGCTGCGGCGGACCCCCCCCCGGACCCCCGCGACCTCCACGCGAGCCCCGAGGCCGCGGCGCGGAGCTCCGGCCCGCGCAGGGCGGCGGCAGCCGGGGGGCCCACGGGGTGCGAGAGATGATTGCCGCCCGTGGGTCCGGGCCTCGGAACAACTTAGCGAGCACGTGCCACACTCATCCGTCTCCCCCTCGCGTTCAATTTTGGCGGTGGGTCTGAGGAGATGCACGTCGACCGCAGTCTCCCCGGCGCGTGCCGATATCGAGTTTGGGGGGGAGGGGGAGTGTTCAGTAGTTGTTTCCCTCGACCGTCCCTCCAGCGTGAAGCGGCGCAGGATGCTCGCGCCCTGCAGGACGAGGGCTGGAGGGAAAAAGGGGGGGAACCCAAGGGAACCCAAGGGGGGGAACCCAAGGGGTGCAAGATGCTCACGCCCTGCAGGACGAGGGGTGGAGGGAAGAGGGGGGGGGGAACCCAAGGGGGCGAGGCAGCCGTCGGAGAATCCCGCAGTGCCACCCAGAGCTGCGCTGCCCTCTGCAGGTCTACTGCAGGCCCCGCCAGCGGCAAGAGACGGCGTCCGAGCCGACAGGAGCCTGCAAAGATGGAGGGAGCAGGGGGGGGGAGGAGAGGAGAACGAGGAAGATGAGGGAGGGAGGGAGCTGTATCTTTGGCCCGAACATTTCGGGCTCACCAATCGTCTGCCCTCAGGTCGGCACCACTTTTTCCTGAATCACTCCTGACCCACACCAGTCCCTCTCGGCAGTGCGCAGCTGGCTCACGTCAAGGCGAGGACTGATGGTGTTCTTGAGGTCGAAGCCTCGCTACCTGGCATGCCTTTGCGGCACCAGCGTCTGCAACCAGGTGGTCCCGCCGGTTGGCAGAGGCAGGGGCAACAGAGATGTCGATCACCGACCCAGAAAGCAATGCCGTCATGTTTTGGGGAGACGCCAGGGGATGCAAGACGATCAGATGCAGCAGAGCTCAGCTCAGATTAAACATGTCCTGTCCGAGATCCCAGCAGCCACCACGTCAGTCGCCGAGGAGCACGAGAGACTCGCGGCCCACCCGCGGACCCCAAGCTGTTTTCTGTTTCTTACACATATATACAGTCATCGGCCTGACCTAAGGAACGATACATAAGGAACGAAGCCCCTTTTCCCAAGGAGTAGCGCGTAGGGAAGGGAACGATCTGCAATACACATATCGCATGAGGAGCGACACATAACGCATGAAAGCCTGCGGAACGACGGAGCCCCTTTTGAAAAGCAAGTGTTCCTTGCTCAAGCCGCTTACTGTGTGTATATATATATATACACACATGTGTAAACATGAATTTCGCGAAGCCCTCAGGTTCCGCATGCGGGCTCTTGGGCTAGCCGTCTGCGCCGCGGCCCAGGCCGACGCGGAAGACGAGATGGCAATCAAGGAGTTCGCCATGATCGAATACAGTCGGGGCGTTGACCCAAGGAACCCGAAATGAGGAACGAGGCCTCTTTTTTCCATGAGTTAAACTTCGATTTCCTGTCGAAAAACATAAGGAAAGCCTGATGCGAACTGCAAAACACTTAAGGAACACGGAGCCCCTCCCCAACCAAAAGGGTTCCTTCTTCAGGGCCCCGACTGTACACGTTCTCGGCACTATCCCCACGCCCCAAACGATTATGGGGGCCCCGCCTTCGACGTTCAGTGGGCAGACGCAATGGAATACGGAGCAAGATCCGCAGGTCAGAGGCCCTCGAGATCTACGCCATCGAGGGCGGCATCCAGCAGCTCGAGCAGGCGCTGGAGGACGAAGAGATAACCATGAACAAAGAGTCGAAGTTACGCAACCGTCCTTCAACAGACATCAGCGCATGCGGAGCTATCTGAGCAACATCAGGCAGCGGCACCACCAGTTCAGCAACCAATTGTACCGCCGCCGCCTCCGCCTCAGTAATCATGCGATGTCATATTCTGGGGATCCCATTGTCGGTAACCAGCAGTTGGCGATCGTGCTCCGGTGGAGAGGAAGAAAACGTGGACCATGATCAAGACTGAACGCGACATAGTTTCGATCTGGCTCACCTTTCATACTGGCCAGCGTCAATTCGTGGATCATCCTCGCGAATTGGCAACGGCGGGCATGGACTATGATCAAGGTCGGCGTCGGCAAGATCCCACGACATCCTGGTCATGGTCAGCATGTCTCTTTCCTCGGTTCAGGGGCTCATGCAGAATTCGCAGACCCTTTGGGGTTCATCGGCGTGTGAGATGCTTCCCCCTCCCCAAACCGCTCCCACGGGAGCGCGGTCTGGTCGATTTGGAGGGGGGTAGGGGGGGGTCCCCCGGGGCCCGGTCGAACGCGGCACAGGGGGGGCAGAGGGCTCCAAAACGAGCCAAGAGGGCAGTAAGAGGCCCGCCAGGCGGTCCAAGAGGGCCCCAAGACGCCCCAAGAAGCCCCCAAGAGGCGTCCAGAGTGCCTCCAAAAGTAAACATCGTGTCATTTCCTTATGGTAAACGTGCATTGTTAGCACGTTCGCCCCTTGGGCGTCCACAACGTCCAAGGCTGCCGAAGAGGCATTCAAGATCGCCACAAGATGGGCTAAGAGGCCCCCAAGAGGGCCCCAAAGCCGAACCATGAAGGCCCCAAGACGGCCCAAAGAGTCCCCAAGAGGAGCCCGAACGGACATTTCGAGTCTCCGACCCCACGACGCCTCGGGGCTGCTCCACAGAAGCCCCCCCAATGGGCCCCCAGGGAGCCCCGAGAGGGTAGCAACAAGCCCCCAGGAGGCCCCGTAGAGGTTCACATCTCGGGCAAGGAATGCCAGCAATTGTTGAAGGGGCCCTGAGACACACAAATAAATACACAGAAATAAAAAGATTCCCCATATGTTTCAATATGTTTGGGGTTTTTGTCTTCCCCCCCACTTCCCATCTTTTCCCATATTTTCTGGGAAATCGCCGATGAATTGTGTCTGTGTGTTTCTTTCCCTCCCGAATTGTCTCGTGGCAGCACGCTCCTTAGGGCGACGGTGCTGATGGGGCCACGCTGCGGCCGCCCACGGAGCGAGCGTCAGCCGTGGAGCACCTCGCGGGCGCAGCTCCCGCCCCTCTCCCCCGACCAGCCATTTCTGGGAGCTGTGGTCCTGTGGGAGCTGTGGTCCTTACCCCCTGGGGGGACCCATCGACTTCGACACCCCTCTCGAGAGATCGTCGATGCGACGGGTTCCCCCCGAGGGGGTAAGGACCACAGCTCCCCCAAAGATGGCTGGTCGGGTCTCCCTTATTGTTGGTCATTCCCTGAGGTTCCGCTCTTTGGGCTTGTAGCGGAAGGCCGCCGGTTCACATGTCGGACTTCTTGTTACGGATCCATGCAACTTTCAGCTTGAGGCTCGGAGGCCCACCTGCCTACTCATTGTGAACGCCCCGAAGGTGAAGAAGTGACTCGACCTGTTGCCCAACAGAGGGCGATGAAGCCACGGTTTGCTCATTCATATCTGATCGGCCTCTCCTCCCGAGGCGGATTCAGGACAGCCGCCGCTAAGCAGTGCCCGCCTGCTGCCGCAGTCTCAGAACAGTGTACGCCACCACCACCACCCCTCTCGACCAGGGGCTTTTTGGGACGCAGTGCACCCTGAGTTAGCGGCTTTCTTTCGCCTCCTCGACCCCTACCAGCAAAAGCATACATGGGATTGTTTGGGGGATGACTTTGTCGCTCGTACCCATCACCGATGCATGATCGTGCATGCTGTTGCTGTTGGCACCTCGACCTATGGTTCCATGGGATGTGCGTAAAAGGAGAAGGAAAAGAAGGTTGGCACCTCAACCTATGGTTCCATGGGATGTGCGTAAAAGGAGAAGGAAAAGAAGGGACGGGGAGGAACCATCGGATGCAACGCTGTCAGCTCCGAGCCCCGATTGGGAGTAGGGAGGAGGAGGAGGAGGAGGAGGAGGAGGAGGAGGAGGAGGAGGAGGAGAAGGAGGCGGAGACGGCGGCGGAGGAGCAGTAGCAGCAGCATCAGGAGGCCGAAGAAGGCCTGGAGGAGAGGAAGGGAGGAGAGGGAGGAGAGGGGAGAGAGGACGCAGTAGGAGGCAGAAGGAAGCGGTTCTGGCTGCCTCCGTTGGCTCTGGGCAAAGGGGATGTTTCGTCATTGGGTGGCGCAAACAGACACTAGCTCATCCTGTGGCGCATGGCGCGTGGCAGCCACGTGCTGACATTGAGCGGCGTGCGTACCCCGCAGAAACGAATGCACAAACTATCGCGCACATGCTCGAACCCACTTTATGACGGACACATTCGCCCGAAGCCGACAACTTCCTCCTCCCTCCTGGTCCCCCTTCTGCCGGGGGTGCGGAAGGCGCCGCGGTCCTTATAGCGCGCGTAGTCGTACGCGTCGCCCTGGCGCAGGGACGGAGGCATCCGGAGCCGCGGAGAGGAGCACCCCACGAGATAGGTCGACGGAGGTGACGGGGCGTGCGGGGGGGACCCGACGTTCTCCTCGTCCTCCTCCTCCTCCTCCTCCGCCTCCTCCTCCAGGGGCGTACACAACCCACCCATGACTTTTGGCAGCACCCAGGGCGGCGACGAGCCACTTGGATGCGCGTAATACGGCACTCTACCAGAACCCTGGCCGTCCTCCTCTTCCTCCTCCTCCTCCTCCTCCTCCTCCTCCTCGTTCTCCTCCTTCTCCTCCTCCTCCTCCTCCTCATCCTCCTCCTCCTCCCTTCTTCCCTCCCCCCTCCCCCTAACGGAAATCCGCCGACCCCTTGGGGATCATCGGCGTGTGAGATGCTTCCCCCTCCCCAAACCCCTCCCCCGGGAGCCCGGTCCGGTCGATTTGGAGGGGGGGGGGGGTCCGGGACGAGCGGTTCACGGGGCTTTTCCGGGCCCAAGAGGGCCTCAAGACGGGCCAAGAAGCCCCCAAGAGGCCTCCAAGACGGCCCACGAAGGCCCCGAGACGCCAAACGACCGCTCCAAGACGCCCAAGATGGCCCCAAGACGGGCCAAGAGGTCTCCAAGACGGCCCCCGAGGTCCCAAACAAGCCTCCCAAGAGGGCCCCAAGAGTCTAAAATTGTTGATTTTCCATAGTGTTTTTCGATGTTTTTTGCTTTTCCGCCTTTTCGGCTTCCCGACGCTCCAAGACGGCCAAAGAGGCCCCAAAGACAGCCCCAAGATGGCCCAAGAGGCCCCCAAGACGGCCTCCAGACGGCCCAAGACGGCCCCAACACGGCCCAAGAGGTCCCCAAGACGGCCCAAGAGGGCTCCAAGACGGCACCAAGAGGGGCCCAAGAGGGCGACCAAACATGTTGAAACTCTAGCTTTCTGCCCCCAGGAGCCCCAGGGGGCCCCAAGAGTGCCCCAAGAGGCCCCCAGAGGCCCTCACGAGGCCGCCCAGACGCCCCAAGGAACCCCCAAGAAGCACCCCAGAGGCTCCGAAACGGCCCCCAGTGGCTCCAAAACTCGCGGTGTCGCCGTCCGCTCGGACCCCCCCGCGGAACTGCCCGAGACCCTCTGGCGGTGGCGGCGAACAGACACCAAACAAATATCACTCGCCTTTTCACCCCTTCGCAGCTTCTACTACCCCCAGATTGGCATAAACAAGGGGTCGGCGGTGTGGCGTAAGCCTAAGAATCATTATGTTGTTTCGCCCCTTCAGGAAGACCTCATCGCCACGGCTGGAATCAATGTGGGCTTGTGGTCGGAGCGAGCTTCAGGTCGTGTCCTGGGGCTGCCCTCTGATGAAGAAAGATGAGGAGGATGAGGAGGAGGAGGGAGGAGGGAGGAGGGAGAAGGGAGGAGGGAGGCAGAGGGCATCGGCGACGTCGGCGGTGCGGTGCCGTCACCCCCTCGCCCCATCTCTTCGGACACCATCTGGGAGACCTCGAACCTGCGCATGTGTCCATCCGCGAGCCCGCGTCGACCCCAACGCCACCGTCCTCCACCGCCACCTCCTCCTGCTCCCCCCCCGCCCCCGCGCCGCGCGCCGGGGCCCCCGCCTTGAGGATGTTGTCCCTCAGGGACCCCTCGAAGATGTGGGGAACCTCGGGCGCGCTCCGCGGCCGTGGCCGCGCGGGGAGGGCCGAGACGGCCACCCCGCCGGCCGAGAGGGGGGGCGCCGCGCAGCCTCCAATTGGGCTGAGGTCGGGCGCGTCCTCCTGCAGGCGGTTTTTTGGACGAAACTTCAAAAGGCGGTCAGCAAGTGCTCAAAGACCGTCCAAAATAATCAGGAAGATCGTCCCCTGACTATTTTTGATTATTGTCGGATGCTCCACCTGTCGAGGGACATGCCCGACTTAACTCCAGGCGATCGAAGTGTCATCCATGCCCCTCCTCACGCCTCGGCCCCCAGGGGGGGCCGGAGCAGGGATGCTGACTGGAATCCTGGCCTCCGAGGCTCCCGGTAATGTTTTGTGCCTACAGCCGAGGCGTTGACCTAAGGAACGATAAATAAGGAACGAGGCCCCTCTCTTCCTTAAGTTTAACTTCGATTTCCGATCGAAAACCAAAGGTGAACCTATAGGCAGTCAAAAAAACCTCAAAGGAACACGGAGTCCCTCCCAAACGAGAAGGGTTCCTTCTTCGGGCCCCCGACTGTACCATGCTGCATGAGGCGCCCATTGGGGGGCAGCAGCAGGGGGTACCCATCGGTCGGAAGAAGCAGGTCGAAGCATGGAGTAGAAAGGCGCTGAAAGTGGATTGGGTGTCCGCCCGCCCGGGAAGGAGGGTGGAACAGGTGAAGCCACTCGATCACTGAAGTAGGAAGGCGCTTGCAGTAGATTGGAATCTGGGAATCCAGAAATGCCCACTTCCAACGACCGATGAGTACCTGCAGCATCCGGCGCCCAGAGCGGGGGGCAGCAGCAAGGGGTATGGATCGAACGCCAATCGCCGCGCCTCCTCCGCCCCCTCCCCCGGTGGAGGGCCGCGTGCCCGAGGAGCCAGCCCAGCCGCGAGGTCAGCGCGAACCCCGCCCCTGCCGTCGGCGGAGCAGGCACTCGGATCTCCCACGACGTGACTGCGGTGAGGGCCCTGGATGCCCGATTGTGTCGGTCGCGATCGGCGGCGACGGATCGGCATGCCAAATCGATCGCGAGCGATTCCAGAAAATCGGTCGCGACGGGTCGCGACCCATCGGTCGCGACAGATTCTGAAGCAACTCGGTTGCGACCGGCCCTGGAATCTGAAGCAAAACCGGAAGCTACCGATCTCGTTGGCCGCGACCAGAAGAATTGGGTCTCCAATGATCAGGGGGGTGAGGGCATTGGATAAGGAACCATTGAGTCAGGAGTCCAGGGTCTGGAAGCCTTGTGGAGCACCCATCGTGGATTGGCCATGGATGCCACCGCCGCCCTCATCAGTTCAGGAATGCCCCAGGGTCTGCGGCCGTTCAATAACGAACGCCCCCACCGTAATTCAATCCTGGCGTTTTTCCTGGATTTAGGCCTCCGACTACCCCCGGGGAAGCGGTCGCGACCTCTGGGGCCGCGGATTGAAGAAAGCACATCGGTAGCGGAAGACGAGCATCTTCCAGCCCGCCCAAGCAGTTGGCGCTTGAGGTCGCCAAGGGCTCCCTCAGTTTTCCAAGCTGGAGGCCGCTCAAGGTATATGAAGGGGCCCCAGGACACACAAATAAATACACACAACTAAAAAGATTCACCATCTTTTCACATATTTTCCGGGTTTTTGTCTTTCTCTCCACTTCCCATCTTTTCCCATATTTTCCGGGGGATCGACGATTCATTGTGTCTGTGTGTTTCTTCCCTCCTGAATATACTGGGGGCGGGCGGTACAGAGCTCGCGGAGAGCAGGCTCCCGAACGGTCTTGCTTCGTCCGTGTGCGCGCATGCGCTCTGGGGCCAGGGCCCTCGCTGGCCCCTGCTGCGGGGCGTGCGCCGTCAGGGGGTGCCTGACCCTCCTTCGAGGTGGCCTCGCCCACCACCTCGTCGTGTCGTGGGTACTTTGGTAGTGGAAACAGTTGGCTTTCAGATTATTTGGTCTTTAGAAGCTCTGCGTGGCGACGCCCCCGCCGCCACGCGTGCCCTCTGCGTGCCTGCGGGGGCGCCGCCACGTAGAAGCACTGGAGACCGAGCATTTGGGGCGTCGCTACGCGCGCCCTCTGCGTGGCTGCGACCATTTGTTAAAACCCTAAAACCAATTAAATTCGCTAATAAAGTAGCTGTCTGGGGGGGGGGGGAAGTTGATGGGGGGGGCTTGGCAGCGCGAGTGGGGCATCCTTCCCTCTGGGCACGCGCGGGCACGCTGGCGGCCAACCCGACCCCTCGCCCGTGCCCGCTGCCGAGGGGCTCTACGTCCACAGCTGGAGCGAACACCCTGCAAGATGAGCAGATGGTGCAGAACGGGCACGCCGGCGCCAGACCCACGGTCCAGGGCACGTGCCCCACCCCCCCCCGAAACGCGCGAAACACGATCACCTCCGAGCCACGGCGGGTGTGCTAGACTTTCTCGAGCCACGGCGGGTAGCCAGCGCAGGTCCCAAAAAACGCGCAGAGCGTCGAAAGTGTACGGCTTGTGCCGTTGTTTTTCTTCGAGTTGTCTCGACGAGAGATGTATCGACGATGCATCGGCGACGTCGGCGTGGTGAGAATCTGGCTCCACGTCGAGCCTCATCGCCGACGCATGAGCGATGCGGTGCGACCCTCCGACCCCATCTACTCCGACCCCATCTAGGAGGCCTCGACTAGTGTTGCCCGTTGCCCCTGGCCGACCATCCCCTGTCGGCGCGCCTGAGCGGCGTCCACGCACGCCGCCGTCGTCGTCCGTCGTCGTCCGTCGGCAGTCGTCGGCCGTCTTCGATTTCGTCCTCGTCAATCGCCGCCGTCGTCGTCGTCGTCGTCGTCGCCGCCGTCGTCGTCGTCGTCGTCGTTGCCCGCTGCCCCTACGTACAGTCGGGGCGTTGACCTAAGGAACCCTGAATAAGGAAAGAGGCCCCTTTTTTTCCATGAATTAAACTTCGACTTCCCGTCGAAAGCAGATAAGGAAAACCTGAGGCAAGCTGCGAAACACTCAAGGAACGCGGAGCCCCTCCCCACCCAAAAGGGTTCCTTCTTCGGGGCCCCGACTGTAGCCCGGCGGGGCGCCTGCGCGGAGTAGGCGACCCTCGCCGGCACCTCGGCGGCGCCCGGGGCGGGGCGGAGGGGCGCGGCCCCGGGGCCGCCCGCGGAGGGCGCGGCCCGGGGGGGGGGGGGGGGCCCGAGGGCGGGGCGGCAGCGCCGGGCATCCTCGAGCCCTACGACGACGACGACGAGGACGACGAGGACGAGGACGATGACGAGGACGTGGACAAAGACGAGGACGAGGACGGGGACGGCGAGGACGAGGACGAGGACAAGGACGAGGACGAGGACGAGGACGACGAGGACGAGGGCGAGGGCGAGGACGAGGACGAGGACGAGGAGGACGAGGACGAGGACGAGGACTACGACGAAGCCACGACGGCTATCACTTCCCTGACCTTCCAGGAGGGCCTGACAACAAAAGCACCAGAACCTCGACATCTAATTCCCAGTCGAGGTTTTGAGCAATTCAGGTGGGTCAGTCGGCATGGAGCCCATTAGAGCCTCGTTTGACCGATCCCTATCCCCACTGGCGTGCCATGGCCACCTCTGGCCGATTCACCCCCCTGGATGGGGATATAGGCTGTTCCTTTCGGGTTTCGAAGGGCCTATCGCAAACCGGGGTTGTGGGATGATGGGGCTGAGATTGAATGGCCCTGTGGGGATGGGGATATGATAAAGGATACTGGCCCGTTCCTCTCGCGGAAAATTTGCAGCAGGAAGTTTGGAGCAAACTCTGGCCTCCGGGGGGTCCTTCCGAACACCAAACATCGAGTCCAAACGAAAATCTGGTTCCGAGGAAGGGGTCCCGATCTCAAGGGGTAAAATCCCAGTTGTTCCGGGCGCACGCCAACGCGGATGATGAATCCGTGGATCTGTCGCGTTGGCGCCAGAGGTAGGTGAACCACAAAACGTGAGGCCTGAGCAGCCAGATTGGGCGACGAATCGCGCCGATTCTGCACGGGAGCGCGATCCGTTCCTCCATGCAGCAGAATCCATGTTTGCGCTTCTTCGATTGCTCTTTCTCCCTCCTGCACATTGGCCTCCTTCCGCCTGTCCCCCCCCCTCTAAAGGGAAATTAGGACACACAAATAAATACACACAAATAAAAATAGTCCCCATATTTTCCCATATTTTCTGGGTTTCTGTCTTCCCCCCCACTTCCCATATTTTCCCATATTTTCCTGGGGGTCGACGATTAATTGTGTCTGTGTGTTTTTTTCCCTCCTGACCATCACCCTCCCAAATCCTCACTCCCACGTCGTATCCTTTTCTCCTCAGCAGCGACCCCCTCCCTGTCACTCCACCGGACGAGTCTGCAAGCCGGTCTGGGCGTTCCGCTTGAGACTGGAGGAGGAGGAGGAGGAGGAGGAGGAGGAGGAGGAGGAATGGAAGGGGGGTGGTATATATATAAATGTATATATAAATAGTCTTGGGTCCTTCACAGTGTAATATCCCGGCGCTGAACGCGTCACAAGTGCACAGACGGAGGCCAGGTCATGCGGGAAGTGGGGCTCTCGCCGCAACGCCGCGCACATTCGTCTACCATTCTTGTAACAACTACGAGAATGAAGGGCGGGCCCTTCTCACACTTGGGCTATTGCCTTAAAACCACCCCATTAGTATGTAAATCTTGCTACAACGATTAAAATTGGAACTAATACAAGTTCAAAACCTGCAACCGTTACACGGGTGAAGGGCGGTACCGTTCCAACATGGGGCTCTCGCCCTAACGCCGCGCGCATTCGTCCAACCAACCTGCAACAATTACAAGGCTTTAGGCCGGGTCCACTTCAAAATGGAGCTCTCGCCTTTGCGCCGCGCGCACTCGTCTAAACAAATTGCAACAGGTACCACAAGGGAGGGCAGTACAGTATCTCAATATGCTCTCTCCTTATCGCCGACCACATTCGTCTTGTCGCATAAGTTCGCAGGGTGAAGGGTCGTTGCTTGTCAAAACTGGGCTCCTGCTTCAGACTTCTTCAAACTTACCGACCAGAAGTCTGAACGCATGAACCAGCTTCACGGATGGAGGGCGGCTCAGGTTCAAAATGGGGCTATGGCACGAGACCTCCTCACATGTAGCAGCCAGAAATCTAACAGTGTGCATCAATTACACAACGGGCGGCTCCTTTCCAAGTTGGATGCCTCGCTGAAAAACTCCTTGGACTGACAATCCTACCTGGCTGCGTTCCTGGCAGCCCGCTGCAAAACATGCAAGAACCATCCGTGTGGTCACGGGGCTCTCGTCTGAATAGCACGCCCATGGGACGTGCTCGTCTTTCAAAACAAACACAACTCTGACAGCGTGCAGGAAATATGGGAGGGATTTCTTAGGGAACTCGTGGCCGGAGGGTGTATTGCAAATCGTTGTTGCATCCTGGGTTTAGTCTAGGTCTTGCTGGTCCCCGTCAGACTCCTCCTCCTCCTCCTCCTTCTCCTCCCCATCCCCTTCAGCCTCCTGCCCCTTGATTTCTAATTTTTCTTCTTACTCCTCGTCGTCCTCCTCCTCCCCTCCTCATCCTCTCCATCCCCATCCCTATCCGCATCCCGCCCCCCCCCTCTCCTCCTCTCCCGCCCTCCATCCCACATCCCACCCCCGTACCCTACCCTCTGCCTCCTCCTCCTCCTCCTCCTCCTCCTCCTCTTCCTCCGAATCCTGCCGTGCCCAACCTACATTCCCGAGCGTCGCGTTCCCGTTCCTGGCGTTCGTCCTCTGCCTCACGGACCGATCGGCCCGAGGACGGGGCACGAGAAGGGGGCCGACAGAGCTCAGGTCGTGCGTGCCTCGCGACGCTGTACTTTTGTACCCCCGGCAGCGGCTGCCGCGCGGCGCCGGCCCGAGAGGCGGGCTCCGAGCAAGTCGGAGCGGAGGCGACCTCCTCCTCCTCCTCCTCCTCCTCCTCCCTCCTTCTCCTCCTCCTCCTCCTCCTTCCTCCTCCTCCTCCTCCTCCTCCTCCTCCTCCTCCTCTTCCTTCTCCTCCTCCTCCTCCTCCTCCTCCTCCTCTTCCTCCTTCTCCTCCTCCTCCTACCGCAGCCGAGCGGCGGTAACAAGCTTATGAGGAACATCCTGGAGGCCTCGCGCGGCAACTCGAGACCCGATGTACGTCGGATCTACGTCGGATTTACGTCGGGTTCCTGTCGGACTACGTCGGGTTTACGTCGGATTGACGTTGGACTGACTCCTGAGCATCGCCGCGCGAGCGTCGACCCATAGCTCAAGGAGCTGACAAGTGGACTGGATCATGCTACTGTTGCGCGCCGCGCGATGCCTCAAGGATTTTCCTCACAAACAAGCGGCCTCCATCCTGGCGTCGTCCCTGGCGTAGAGCTCGCCCAGGAGCGCGTGCATGAAGGTGGTCTTGCCTGCCCGTGGCGCTCTGCGGCACCGAGGGGGGCGCGGAGAGCGCAGGGCAGCACATCGGGACCTCGCATGCGGTGGCAGCGTGCGTCTCGGCCCGGTCTGCACCAGCACGGGGTCGGAAGCCAAGCGGCTGCGCCAGGGTGCACGGCATCGCAACACGCGTCGGTCGGAAGAAGTAGGTAAGAAACATGAAGCAGGAAGGTGGATATAGGAGATGGGGTCCAGGTCCTCCCAGAGAACAACAAAACACAGCAAAACCATGCCGATTCTTGAAGTAGGAAGGCGCTTCAAGCAGATTGGGATCTGAGAATCCCAAAACTACCTACTTTCAACGACCGGCGTGTACAGGCATCGGGCCGCGTCGGATCGTCGGCATCTCGGAGCACCTCCGTCGCGATGCCGTGAAAAGCGAAGGACGCTGAACCGGGAAGGGGCTTTTCCGGCTACGGCGAGCCCTGGCCATCGTTCGGACGTCCATTCCCTGTGCTTTTTGTTGGTTTCGTGCGTGGCTTTTTCGCCAAAGGATCAAGGATGTTACTCGATGGTCCTCGCCGAAGGAAAAATGCACACGTCCGAGCTATGCTGCCAAGAGCCTCGGCTGCTGCGTAGGCTCCCTCACACAGAGGCACGGCACGGCGCGAAAACCGCCAGAGCCCCTCCCGAACCCAACAGCGTCTCTTCTTTCCGCGCCTTGACGGCACCAGCATCGAAGACCGATCCTTCCTCCGAGCTGTCGTCTTACAGTCCCCAGGGCTCGGGGAGGGCCCCGAGAGCCACACACAAACAGAAACTCCTGGCCCGTTTGTGGGGAAACCGAAAAGGTACAGTCGAGGCGTTGACCTAAGGAACCCTAAGTAAGGAACGAGGCCCCTTTTTCCCGTCAGTTCAACCTCGATTTCCCATGGGAAACCTCAGAAAAACCCGAGGCAAACTTTGAAACAATCGAGGAACACGGAGCCCCTCCCCAACGAAGAGGGTTCCTTCCTCAGCGCCCCGACTGTACACAAACAAAAACTCCTGGCCCATGTCTGGGGAAACCAAAAAGGTACAGATGCCGCTGCTCCCCAGACCTCTCCTGGGGCGCGTCCCGCCCAGCACTTCGGGACGGATCCAGACGTGGCGACGGGGGCCGCCCCGGGAGGCCAAAGAGGGCGAGCATGAGGCAGGCCGGCGGCGGACTGCCAGACATCGAAGCGGATCGGCCCGGCCAGCGATCGGCATCGGCTCGAGGACGGACCGCAGAGAAGAGGCCCTGGGACACACGCGCACACACACAAGTACACACACAAGTACACACACAAACACACACACACACAAGTACACACAGAAGTACACACAAAGAAGCAGATTCCCCATACTTTCCCGTACTCTCTGGGTCTTTGTCCTCCCCCCCACTTCCCACAGTTCCCCCTATTTTCCGGGGAATCGACGATTTCCTGGTGTCTGTGTGTTTTTGTTCCCCCTCCTGGCGTAGAGAAGGGCGGGCGCGCGGCACCCCGGGGGGGCGAGAGAGAGAGGGCGGCGCCGGCGGAGGAAGGGGCCGGCTCCTTCCCCGGGTGATGGCAAGCCGCTCCTGGGGAGCGGCCAAGAGGGGGGTGTCCAAGCCCGATGCCCAACAGCGAACGCTGTCCCAGAGAGGCAGTGGCCGCTGCTGGGCAGGCGCCCCCGTCTTCGTCTCCGGGGGGCAGCGTCTGCGGCGATCACCTGCGGCGAACCTTGCTGAAGTCGGGAGCGGCAAAGAGGGGGGCGTCCAAGAGGGGGGGGTGCGAATCATGGCCAGCGGCACGTGCGCGGCCCAGCGGGGGGGCCAGGGACGTCATGGAGTAAGAAGAGGCGCCGCTAAAAAATCTGGGGAGATATCATGGCCCACGCCATGATGTCCACCTCCCCCTGGTCATCACCCCCCTCTTTTCCGCCCCCGACACTCCTGGGAAGCCTGCTTTCGCCAGCCTCGATCTGATCCCTTCCCCAAAGAAGTTGGCAATCTGAGGGTTGCGATGACGATCTCAGGGATGCGCCCTGAGAGATTCAGGGGATCCTTGAGATCGGCATCGAGATCAGGAGATGCCCATCATAGGGATGGGGGATGTCCCAGGCTGGTAATGCTTTGGGAACGATCACGGGACTGTTCTTTCATTCCACGACGACCAACCCTCGATGCATGGAGGAAGACCAACTGCATGAACATGCACTTTCGACAGTCCGCGCGAATTTCTTGGATTTGCGCTTGGCCCCTTCACCATGCGCGACGAGGGCGCCAAGGGCGGCGCCGGAGGCGCCGCCAGTGAGGTCCAGCGCAGATCCAAGACATCCGGCCAGACCGTCGAAAGATTATGTTTACGCCATGGCTTCTCCTTCATATGAACCAATAAGCACACACACACCAGGCGGAAAACTCGAGACCACTCGTGGTTGCCAGACGCGGCAGCATCCCTGGCCAAACGTCGCAGCGAACATCGGAAGCCTTTGACCGGCCTGGCGCGAAGAGGGGACAGGAGAGCCGGCCGCCTCAGAAGATCCAACATGCCTTACAATCTCGAGCCTCGCTCTGCGGCCCTTGTTATTCATGGCGAACACCGACTGCAGGCCGCCGCCTTGGCCGTCATGGCCAACACCGACTAACTGCCGCCGACACCGCCGACACCGTCGTCGTCGTCGTCGTCGTCGTCGTCGTCGTCGTCGTCGTCGTCGTCGTCGTCGTCGTCGTCCTCGTCCTCGTCCTCGTCGTCCTCGTCGTCCTCGTCGTCGTCGTCGTCGCTGTCCCCGTCCCCGTCCCCGTCCTCGTCCTCGCACCGGCTGGCATGGCAGCAGCAGCGGGGGGGGTGGCGAGCGCGCCGCAGCCGGTCGGACCCACCACCGCCACCAACGCGCCCGTCGGGACGTAGATGTCCATGTCCTCCCCGGCACCGCTGCCGTCCCCCCCCCTGGCCTCTGGCGGCTCGGGGCTCGAGCCTTTGGGGTTCACCCACTTCGGCCCTGGACGAGTCCAGAGGGTCGAGGTGGACAAGCCCTGGGCCCCCTCGCGTCGTAAGAACAACTCCGACGCAGGGTGTTGGACAGCAATTGGCCCCCAGAAGCCCTCGCCAGGACTCGTGGTTGTCAACAGAAGCACACGTGATAAAAATGATTCTGCTTCGAGCGATCCCCACGAAACCTTGGGCTTCTGTGTCGGCTGCTGCACTGTTTTCTTTCACGTTCTGTTCGGCTCTGTTCTTGACTATTCATATATGGCGTATTCCTGTGACCAGCCGTACGTCGGATCGTATGTTGTGTTTGCTGGGGCGCCAGTAATCGGTTGCTGCGGTATTCGACCGTCTTTGAACTATGTCATGTTCTCTCCTGTAAGAATGTACTCTATTAATGTATGTTGCGTTCTGTTCTCGCGGAGCTGGCGTTACGTCATCACGCCTGTCACGTTTGATACGTCGGCCAATCGGTCGTTGCTGCGCCTCTTTGTTCCTGTGGCCAGCCTGACTTATGCGCGCACGTCGCGTTTGATAAGATGCTAGTCATCAATGGTCTCCTCCCTGTGATGTTCAGAAATTTCTAGATTCTGGAGTATGGGATATACGATATTTCGCTGTGTTATGAGACGACCTGTTCGATGATGCTGCAGAGTCACGGTCTCCAACCATGTTACGTTATGTGAAACTCTCCTCGTTTATTCTACGACTCCACAGTATTAGGTTATGTCATCTCTTACTATGCCATATGATGTTCGCTTGCGTTCGGGACGATTCGTTCCCGTTCTATTATCAGCATCGCCTTCATAGAAATTCGGGTGGCCAAATCATATTACACTCGTCACTGCAACATGCGGACGCGGACGCAACATCACTGCAACATGCGGACTCGAATGTCAAGACAAATCACTGCAACATACGGACGCTTGCCGGACCATAGCACGCAATAGCTTCAATGCAAGACCTCCCTCGGGAGACGCGTCACACAATTGTACCCAAACCACTCGCAAGGAATAGGGACAATCACGTTATGCGCACATGCTTCAAGTCAGAGGGCCGCGTGTCAGCGAGGCACTGGCTTCGCCAAGCATTCCTCGTTTGAATCCCCGCGTGCGGTGCCCCAATCGGGTGTCCCTCCATCTCCCCTACTCGGTGGGCCGGGCGGAGGCCGCGCTGGGTGGCTGGCTGACCTGGGCCGCCCTGCTTATCCTCGCGATGGCCATGGGAATGGGGGCCTCGATGGCTCGAAATGATGCCGATTCGGAAGAGAGGACACCCTGTGGTTGCAGACTTGGCGTACATCCGGCTTGGTTTCCTGCGTGGATGATCTGGAAGCGCTGTGCGACGGCGTGTGGCAGAACGCGGTGCGGCCCGACCCGAAACTGTCGGCGGGTGAGCAACAGGCGGGAGGGCGTTGCGACGCGGTATTCATGACCATCGGCGTCCTACTGGCGCTGCAGCTGCGGTGCCGGGCTGGCCTCCAGACGCTGGTCCTGCAGGCGGACCTGCAGCACGGCATCGACCTCGCGTGGCGGGACGCCGTGCGGGTCCAGCTCCAGGCTGCGGGCTTGACGGGCCGCTGGCGGCTGGCGGAAGGTGAGTCCCTCGGCGCGGAGTGCGTGCGGATACGCATCGGGCCTCTGGTGGCGCCCGTGCTGGGCCTCCTGGACTGTGGCGTGGGACCAAAGGCCGCCGGTTCATGCTTTCGGGGCCCTCGTCCGCGGGCTCATCGGTTGCGGCGCGTCGGCCGCATCGGTACTGCTGGGCCTGCCAGGATCGATGGCGGCGCGGTTTCTTTACCTCCTGCTCCACATTGTGGATGATCACTCGCGCTGCAGGAGTCGAAGGGCGGCGTGGCAGCTGTGGCCAGGGGACTCGCGGCCTGTCATTGCGTGCGCTACCAGCACGCGTTCCAAGGCGGCCCCACCCAGGGCCTGGCGGTGATGGCGGTGGGCGGCCTTCCCCAGACGTCGCCGCATGCGGTCAGGTGGCGTGCTGGGGCACCCGCGCCAGGCACTCCCTGGCGTGCCTCGGAGTGCGGATCGGCGCCGAAGTGTCCCTCGTGCCCTTGCTGGACCAGGCATGCGCGCGGCTGCTGGATGGCGTCGGGACGCACGGGCAGGGGCGCCCCTGGGGGCGATGGCTTTCTGCATGCTTGGGCGCGCATGTCTCGCGCGGCTTTCGACCGAATTCCGGGGAGCTCGACACAAAACCGCCCGTGACTTCCTGCGCCGGGAGGCCCCCCCACCGGGGGGCGCCAAGACGTGCGCGGGGCGGGGCTCAGGCTCTCGGAGAGCGTGGCTGCCCACTGGAGGTCGGCGAAGGGCCCGGGGTGAACCTCCGCCCGCGACGGGAACGGCCGAGCTCGGCCGGAACGCGGCCGCAGGCCGTGGTGGTGGAGCGCAACGCAGCGGACGGGGGGGGGATGTCGGATCGTCGGCCCAGGGACGGAAGGGAGTCGCACGTCGGCTCCGCGGCTGGCGGGGCCCGAATTCGGGGTAAGCCCAGCCACGGGAACGCCTGTGTGGACGCCCGAAATGGGTACGGAAAGAATGGGCACAATGCCCAACAACAAAAGTCGTCCCAAACCAACAGCGGCCGCTGTTGGGCAGGCGGCCCTCTGTCTCACATGTACACAGGCCGCGGCGACACCGACAGCGAGTCCTGTTCAAAATGAGCAAGAACTGCTGTTGGGCATTGTACCCATTCTTTCCGTACCCATGTCGGGCGTCCAAAGCCTGGGGCAGTGGGAGAAGCTGGATGGGCCTGGGGGGAGGGCCTCCCCTTCGCCCTCGGCCTGATACCCCGTTCGCCCTTTCTCCCCGTCCCCCTCGCGGGCCGTCTCCCCCGTCCCCTCCCCATCGTGGCCCCTCGGGCCCGGCCCACCAGGGTGGCGCACCGGAGGCCCGAGGGCGAGGCTCGCCCACCCATGTGAGGGTTCCCCGCCTCCCCCCCTGGGCACCCACCCCTCCTCGGGGGTGGGCCTGGTGCCTGCGAGATCCATAAGCGAGGTCCTCCCCTCCTGTTTCCCCATGCGGCAAATGTCGATGACAGTAAGCGGCACCATCCCCCCCTCCTCTTCTTCCTCCTCCTCTTGCTCCTCCCTTCTCCTTCTGCTCCTCCTCCTCCTCTTCCTCCTCCTCCTCCCTGAACCTCTCTCCTCTCTTTCTCCCCCCGTCTCGAAGGATCTCGGAGGCGCCCCGATCCCCCTCACTGTTATCTTCTCTTCTCTTCTCTTCTCTTCTCCTCTCTGATCGCATGTGATATTGTTCTCTAGTATCTGAGTTATGACGAATATATATATATATATATATATATATATATATATATATAATTGTCGTAGTGTATAGTATAGTGTCATGAGGGGGTTCCCCCAACGATGATCACCCCGATGCGGCGGCGACGGGTCCGTCGGGGACAGATGCGCAAGAACGATCTGTCCGCCGCACGGAACTATTGAGAAGTTATTGTAAAAAGTTGTGCGATGTGCGATGGGCGCGCCGTGGACAGTGAAGTTCAACCATGTGTGGCGCGCAATTTTTTCGGTGCGACGGCGACGGCGGGTGGCCAGACAGATGCACAATACGTAACCAAGCACGTTCGCCGACGGTGCGACAGCGACCGGCGAGGCCGCGACAGATAGACAGTTCGTTTGTTTCCGGAGAACTCCTAAGATAGACTGTGGGAAGGATGGGGACTGTGTGTCTCATATTCGTTTATATCCAAGTATGCTCGCATATATTATAAGCTTCGCCTCCTCTGAATTCTCCTCCTCGTCGTCTCCCCTGATCTTCTCATATATTATATCTCATAAATTATATAGTAGCGTCGCTTCTCTTCTGTTATAGTATCGTATAGTATATTCCATGATAATGTGTTGTGGAATCGTGAATGATAGTATCATAATCCTCTTCTCTCGTCCTCCTCATCCTCGTCTTCTGATTATTCTTCTTACGGAATGATGTCTCTTAGTCGTAGTCGTAGTCGTTGTCTTAGCATTCGTCGTACTATTATTAATCCTCTTCCTCCCCCTCCTCCTCCTCCTCCTCCTCTTCTTCCCTCCTTCTCCCTCCTCCTCCCTCCTTCTCCCTCCTCCTCCTCCCTCCTCCCTCCTCCGTCCTCCTGCTCCTTCTCGTCCTCCTCCTCCTTCTCCTCCTACGCCTCCTCCTCCTCCCTCCTCCCCCCTCCTCCTCCCTTCTCCTCCTCCCTCCCCCCTCCACCTCCTCCTCCTCATCCGCCTCCTCCTCCTCCTCCTCCTCCCTCCTCCCCTCCTCCTCCTCCCTCCTCCTCCTCCTCCACCCTCCTCCTCCTCCTCCTCCTCCTCTCCTCATCCTCATCCTCATCAATCATCATCATCATCATCATCATCATCATCATCATCATCATCATCATCATCATCATCATCATCATCATCATCATCATCATCATCCTCGTCCTCCTCCTCCTCCCTCCCCCTCATTCCTCTTCCTCCTCCTCCTCCTCCTCGTCCTCCTCCTCCTCCTCGTCCTCCTCCTCCTTCTCCCCCGCCTCCGCCTGGCTCAAGTCGGCTCCGCCGGCTTGAGCGGTACTCATCTTTGCTAGAGCTCGGCCTTGCCCTGCTTGCCCAAGTACCGCTCACATGCAGACCTCTCGTGCATGAAGTCCTGCAGCAGCAGGCATTTGGCTTGGAGGTCACGCTGAAGCAGATGGAGCCGCAGTGTGCTGCCGCCTGTGCGGCCCAGGCGTGCGCACACCCGCGCCACGCATGCTCTCCACGTCCAGCGGGCGCGCTGCCGCCTGGTGGAGTTCCTGGCGCTCGGCGCCCCACCAGGCCTGGAGGAGTGAGCCATCATGGAGACCTACAACACGGTGCTGGCGGCACTGGATGTGGAACAGCACGAGATTGGCAAAGAGCCAATCGCAGAGGCACCCTAGGAAGGATCCGCCATGTGGGCCACGGCGGAAAAGGACGAGGCGGCTGACCAAGTGCTGTACACGTCGGCGGGCGAGGAGCTGATGGAGCAGCTCGGCGAGGATCCCGAGGTCGTAGTCGATCAGGACGTCGTCTCAGTAGCTCGCAAGATCACCACCGCGACGGCGATCGACTGCGGGAATCCTGCCCGCTCGAAAGAGGAGAACATCGATTTCACAGAGGAGGTAATCCCTTCCTGGAGAAGGACGACGACGGCGGCGGAGAGGAGCAGGAGAAGGAGGCTGTGCAGGTCGGTCAGCCGAGCTCCTCGGACGCGGCGCAGACGATCGACACCATGAAGGCAGTCGTCACCATGGCGCCCACCGCCGAGAAGGTGCTCTACCCAGAGCCTGAGGTGTCAGGCTCTGTCTCTGAGACCGGCGGTGAAGCTGAAGACGGATATATTGTCGAAGGCGCAATCGTAGGTTCGCAGCCCGATCACGCTGAAGATGCTGCTGGAGTAGCTGCTGGCGCCGATTTGGTGCCACATTGGACGTACAAAGGTGTCGACGGAAGCTGGCGTGTTTTCGAGGATTATGACAGTTACGGGAACGAGGCAAATAAGAGTACGTATCAGCTGCACATCGTGGAACAGAAGCATATCCAGAGAATGAAGTTCGCCTCTAGCCATCTGGCAGTCAGCTTTTTGACTATGTATATTAAGTTCACTGGCGCTTTCAGGAACCAGACAATTCATAGAGCCCTGGTCCCCCTGGAGCCGCAGCAGATTGGAAACGATATGTAGCGTCTAAAAGGCCCCTTGAGGGTCGTCGGATTCCCCCCTTGGTCCGTACAGCGGCGCTGTTTCGTCTCTCGCTTGTGCGAAGATTCGCAATGGAAAGCCAATCGCAGGTCGAGAGCCTCACAGGAGGTGCTTCCCTGCGGTAGCTTGGCGGAAAACAACGGCCTTCGTCCCAATTCGATTCGAGTCGAGTCGAACCCCGACCCACCCCAGCTGAGCGCTCGTCCCCCGCCTCCGCCTCCGCTTCCTCCCCCGCCTCCGTCTCCGCCTCCTCCTCCTCCTCCTCCTCCTCCACCTCGTGTTCGTGCTCGTGCTCGTGCTCGTGCTCGTGCTCGTGCTCGTGCTCGTGCTCGTGTTCCTCCTCCTCCTCCTCCTCCTCCT